GTTTCCTCTACTTGAGATATGCTGCAGACCCAAAGACTTTGTGGAATTGGGTTGAACCCTATATTAAAGATGATGAGGTAAATGATAGATTATGCATTTTAGTTTTCAAGTTTCTTACCTTTTTATCATAGCTATGGAGCTGCTTTTAGACATGCGTCTAAGGTGCCAGGCATGGACTTCTTTTCAGTTATCAAATCACGTCGTCTAAAAAAGACTGGTGAAAGTAATAAAAACGGGCATGTGGTGTGTTGTTTATCCTGGAATGTTGCCTCTTAGTAGTGTATACAATTTTCTTAGTAGGTGATACACAAAGTAAAAATATTAGCTAATAGCTAATTCCAAGCGTTAACAAAATTTTATTTCACTTCATAATGGTTTCAAGAGTTCATTTCAAAAGGCAAAGTCTCGGGAAACAAACGGAGAATTTCCAAACAAAAGGCAAAGTCTAGTAGTTGGCGAAGATGTTTCTGTCATTAGATTTGATTTAGTGTTCAATCTAGAAGGCATATTAGTGATATAAAATTAGGAGATGCTATTTTTAACGCTTCATTTATGTGAACCAAATATGATGTACTCGCTTCATTTAAGAGGTCGCACTTGGTGCGATGGCAAGTGCCTTCGCCCATGAGCGGTAGGTCTCGGGTTCGAGACTTGGGAGCAGCCTCTCCATAAATTGGGGTAAGGCTAGCCGACATTCACCTCTCCCAGACCTTGCGTAAAGCGGAAGCCTTGTGCACTGGGTACGACCTTTTTTCCTTCTGGAACCTATGTTTACCGTTTACAAACTCTGAGTTTTGAATGATTCTTTGGTGCTTCTGCATGAATAGGGTTCTCAACACCCTTGCAAGCATGCACGCTACATTTGCATTTGTCAAGGTTTATGAATTTCATTTGACAAAAAAAACAAAAAAGGTTTATGAAATTTATAGATCCTGGTCAAAGTCATTTGGTTCTTACAAGAGCAGTCCTTTGGTTCTTAAAATTCAAAAGCTGAAAATCACATTAATTGTTTCCAATTTTGATGGATTTGAAACTCTCTGGAACTTTTGGCTGTTGTATACCCAATGGTTGTGCTCTTTACAAAACATACTAACCATTTACTTGTGTCTCAATTTGCATGGCATGAATTTTTGATAGTGGCGGAGTTACTATTACGTGGAGTAGGCATGCTTTGTGTGTAAGTGTTAAATACATTTCACTTGCAAATTTGAGACACAAACACTTGTTCAACTTACGGAAGTATTTCAATATGATTTCATTATGGCTTTGGCTGAAATGAAGTGATGTTAACACGCTAAGTAGAAAATCCTACTAATTTAGATCCATGTAGTAAAGATACAGACTAGTTCTATGTATGGTGAAGTTCTTTTGATCTATCTTAGCTCATCTTGTTCTAGGCCCGTGTTCTTTTAAGGTCTAGCTATTTATTGGCATAGAAGATCACAAATATAGAGGGTGTTGGACAAAAATTGCTTTTGACACCAACTATTAGACTGCAATATTTATCATGTTCTGACACCTGCCGGTCAGAATTTTCATAAGTCACTTACAATTTACCATTGAATTTTCATCCAATGAGTAATAAAACAAAAGTTTAGAGCAGTCATAAAAACCATCATTGGTTGAAGGGGACTTATAAACATTCTAAGTGGTAAGTGTCTAAACCCTACTGATTAGAAAAAAAAAATACTCTTTTTTATAGTTTTCTTTTCCAAATTTTTTGACTTTGCCTTGTTTAGATTTAAACATTCCCATGTAAGGATACATCTGGACATATTAAATTACACTGCCGAAGAGAGGTGTCACTGTTAAAGTGTTGGTCTAAATGGCTCTTTAACGTTGAAGTTCACCAGGGGATCTGCAGTTTAGTGCCATGGCATCACAGGAAGAGAGGAGCCGCAATTTTATACTGTCTGGAAGTGGGGTGGTAGCATGTAAGAGTTGATTGAGATTTTGTACTTGACATTGATAGAAGATAACAATTAGTGGTCATAGTTGGCCATTGGATCCACAGTTGAGTGCATCATGGACTTGAGATCTTGAATACATTTTTTTGTTCTCTTTTGTTAGTTCTGGTCTCAAAACCATTTCTATAACTCTATATATCCTGTGGGTACCAACTGTTTCCACCTTATCTGTATCTGTGTATGCTTATGATATATTTTCCACTGATGCAACTTCTATGACAATTGTCACTTGTTTTTATTTGGTATTGTTATGTTAGCATATTGATTTTGTTCTCCCTGAGTTATTTATTTATGTGTTGGCTTTGGTTTCAGGAATTTTCTCCTGGTTCCAATGGACGGATGACAACTATGGGTGTATATGTGCGCGATTTGCTGCTTGGGCAGGTTAGTTTCGTTAAAGAATGCTTTATATTTGAAATTTTATGGTGAAAATAAAAGGCCACAGCCTCAGTATTCATGCTGTATGCATTTGCAACTGTACCATATCTAGAATGCTGAAGTACCTAATACTACTGCCTGCATGTCTAGCATTTAACCGGCCAAAAATATCATTAGTTTGCCTATTGGGAGCTCTTTGTCCACCAAGACATGCCCACCGAATCATATTTCGATCAATTTTATCCGATGATTAGTTGGATATAGTTTATGGACATTTTAACTGCAGAGGATATCTATAACAAAATACACTAATTATATTGATTGTGTTTTTCCTAATGAAAGATAGAAGTCATGACTGGTGTAATTTGAGATCGTTTACACAGAAGAAATATTGAACAAGTAGTCTATATCTTAAGCAAGCTTCCCATTTAAACTGAAATTAAGTTACAAAGAAAATTTGTTCTCAAGTGACAGCACAGTTATTTATTTGTGTAGCATGTGAGGCTCTTTATGCACCTGCTTTTCACTTCAAGAGTTCATCTGTTGAGATGCCACACCTAGTACCAAAGTGGGTAGGAAAAAGTCAGTTAACCAGCTAAAGTTGTTTGGAGTATTATTGTCTGTAGTAGAAAACAGTGGTTTGTTTTCAGTTGACTAGAAAAAAGAAATGTACTTCCAATATGTTTTTAATACACACTTACACATGCATATCAGCCTAGAAAGCATTTTGTAAAATAGTTGATGGTGCCTTCTAGGACAATAGTTTAAAATCTTCTGTCTACTGCTCCGACAATGCAGTCCATTACAGTCACAGCTGCTGGTTTTCCAGATTACAGTGCGATTAAGGTCTGAATACAGGTCCGTGGAGCTTTGAAGCATGGTCTCAGAGTGCTACTGTTAAGGTCCAAATTTAACACGTAAAAACAATACCATTTCTTCCAAATTTGAGTTTCACCATATTGAAACTGTCCAAGAGTGTTATGAATTGTTTGTTAGTTGTGTTCTAAGACGAAGTTAGATCAATATTTGCTTTGCGGTTCATTACAATATATGTTTCATTTATATACATATGTAGTTTCTGTAACTAATCATAGTTAATTTTTCACATTTTCTGCATAGTTTTAGATGCAGTTTATCTAGACAACTAACGCTCTTAACATGCAGTGCTTTAAATACTATTTCACTGTCCACATAACACTTTCATTGCTTTTGTTGGTGAAGTGATTTAACTTTGTTGTGCTATTGCAGTACTATTTTGATACCCTTTTCCCCCGCATCCCTGTTCCTGTTATGCGGCAGATTGTAGCTAATCTTGAGAAGATGAAACTCCCCACCAAACTATCTGGTATTACTGGAGAGGCTACCCGCCATGGATCTGATGACACAGCTCGTCGCCCACCTTCTGTGAAAGCTGCTCTTTCAGTTTCCTTTGGTCAACGTGCTCCACATCGTGCTTCAACAAGGGACTCCTCACCTGTTCGTCGCACCTTACCGCCACCACCTTATGATAAAGCCAGTAGTGATGATCAAAGGACCCGTCGCAGTCAGAGCCGTGAATATTCTGACAGAGAATATTCAGACAGGGACAGGGGAAGGGACCGGGATCGCAATCGGGATAGGGACAGTGATCGGGATCGAGAAAGATACAAGGAATGGGAGCGGGACCGAGACAGAGACAGAGACAGAGCAAGAGATAGAGTTAGGGATAAGGAAAGGGAGCGAGAGAGGGATAGAGAACGAAGTTCTGATTATGATGGAAGGTCCAAATATGGAGAGAGAGAGAGTCGAAGGGATCCATATGAGAGTAGCCGTGATGGCGGTAGGCATTCTCGTAGGAGTAGGAGTCGGAGCCGCAGTAGAAGCAGGAGTCAAAGTCGGAGTTTGCAAGCGGGCACTACACTTCATTCGAGCCCACAGAGAGATGTAAACAAGGATAGAACATCTGCATCTAGCAACCTGGCAAAACTTAGGGATCTTTATGGGGATGTAAGTGACCAAAAAGGCGATGCCAGCATGGATAGGATTCCCAGGGGAGATAATGGTGGTGAAGAGGTGATTAGACTTGGTGGTTCTCGTTGGAAATAGCATGAGGAGGATCGTCTCTCCTCTCTGTTACCAGATGTGTCATTTGAGTCTTCTGGCCGGAACTGATTCGATCACCATTTGAAGGCAGAAAATGTACCCATGTGTTGCCTTTCGTTGCAGCACGCTCATGTCGCAATGCTCCATGTATACTAGACATTATTCAGAATTTCAATCTTACAATTGATCCTCATGCTTCGGTTGTCGGGTGCAATATTAACTGCGTAACACATGTAATAACGCAAAATTTTCTCTATCATCTGAAGTTGGAATTTTTTTTGTGTTAGAACACAGGTGCGGGAGGGTTGAGCACAAGATCACATATTTCTTGGGCTTTTCTTGCTTTCCCTTTCTCTCCGCGCACTGCTTTCGTTTTTTGGGTTTAGGGTAGTGATTCCATTGTTCCATTTTTGTTTGCCCCACTTGCACACCCCTTCGTTACGGCTTTCTGGATTCAACAAATCAAAATAGAATATACGGACATAAACAATGAAGGGAGTGTACAAGGGGGAGAAGAGTAGCGTGAAAATTATTGGGCTTGTTTAGAAGTGCTTTTAAAATGACTGAAGATGCTTTTAGAAAAAATATTTTTGAATTCCAAGTGAGTTACTTTCATTTTTACTAAGGATTGGCTATAAATGAGTTGGGTGGTGCCTAGGTGGGCTTTTGAGGTGATTTGGGGCGAAACATTAGGGAAAATCGGAGTTGGTCTAGGCAGGCGCTAAGCGGTATAGGCGGTTAAACCAGGCCAACTGATATCAAATGCATGGAGAGAATTGTAAGCTGAAGGCTCTTCTTCGCCCTCCTCCAGCTTGTCCACTTTGCCATACCTTCGCCGGCATCGACGGTCCCGAATAGGAAGAAGACCCATCTCCTTTCTTTGAGCCCTAAACAAAGATTCAATTGAATAAATCAAATCGATTGAGAAAAGACAAAACCCTAACTGTAGTAAAATAATTACACAATCCACGGAGAAGGTAGTGGAGTTTTACTAAACTAATATTTAATTATATGCTTAATATGTTTTTAAATTGTATGATTATATGCCTCAAAAAAACGGTTGGTACAACTAGTCCGTGAACAACTCAGTTGGATGCATATACTTCATGTATTATTCTATTTCTATTCAGCTCAAAAATAATATATGAGCGCTACAACTCAACCCGCCGTCCTATTAGCACTTAACGTTCTTTAGAATCTTAGAAATAGGTGAAAGCAACATGAAAGGAAAACCAGAAACAAATCTTCTTCAATCTTACCAAGGTTGGTGATTGGTTTGTCACAAAAGAATCAAAACAAAATGTTTTGACATATCACATGGAAGTCTTCAAGCTAGGAAAGGAGACTTATCTTCCCTTCGATTCCTTAGAATCCGTACCACCAGACCTTGCAGTAGTTGACAAAGCCTGTATGTCCCACTGCTGACTGGACAATCCTATTACATTATCGATTTCTTATCTGTCTCACAATAAAAGTAGCATTTAGGAATGAATGAATGTGTCCACTCTCTCTTTAGGAGGATCGGGTTACAGCGTTACAATGACATTCCAGTCTAATAACACAACGCATCTTGTTCCGAGAAGGCTTTACCTCCCCAGGTCACTGTTGGACTGATGCAGTCTGCTCTGGAGAAGGCTTTATTTATGCACTCGCTTGTAATTGTATGTACCTCCCAAACCTCAAATCTTCCATAAATAAACACACACCATTCTCTCTTCTCTCTCTCTCTCTCACACTCTCTCTCTCTCCAATCCTCCGAAACACACATTAAAATTCACACGCACACAAATCTACAAATGTCTTCACCTCCACCGGGTCAGGCACACCTCTCCTTTGCTGGTACGATATTACTTAATCCTACGCGCTAACATTCTAACATCAGATATTTGACATGTTATATTATCAGTACATATAAAGCCTAGACTTTATCTAGAGTTTAGACTTCATCTTTGTACAAAAAGCCTAGCTTATCAAGGGTATAGATTTGACGGTCCGACAACGTAATTTAACGCAGTTTCCATCCATCAGTCAAAATCTGATATTGTGAGTTTCGCTTGGTAGATGGGGATGAAACAGTTAGAGAGCACCTACTGACAGTGGACGTTGGAGAAGCTGATGGGGACGTGAAATTCCGGATACGAAATCTGGCCAAGAAATCAGACACCACCGGAGCCGCAATACTCAATGGGTTGACCTTGGACATACCAAAGGGCCTGATCATGGGGGTCATTGGCCCCAGCGGCAGCGGCAAGTCAACGCTGCTTCGAGCTCTCAACCGCCTCTGGGAACCGCCGTCTGGGACTGTCTTCTTGGACGGTCGTGATATTCTGGACGTCGACGTTCTCAGCCTCCGCCGCAAGGTCGGCATGCTCTTCCAGCTTCCCGTTCTCTTTGAAGGTAACCCTTTTGATCATATGCCCCAACTAACAGTCTCTCTCTCTCTCACACATCAGAAGGTCAATTGGCGTATTGTTATAGGATAATGTTAGGGAGACTAATTTGTAGATAAAATTTAGAATTAAATAATGTGTCACCAATAAAAATGAACACGTTTATCAACATTTAAGTTATATTTCAATCATCAGCTTTTATGTAATTTAGTTTATCAAATCAAATAAATAGATTGGTATATCCACCATTCCTCTTTCCCCTAAAGCATCTTGGTGTGTTTAGGGGGCCTTCAATATTTTTTGGTCATTGTAATAGAGATTAGAGAGTGATTATAATATCAAACCGTGATGGGTTTGATTAGGAATATTGTAAAGTAAATATGCATCTTTGTCACTGTTGCCCTAAGCATTCTAATTATGGATTTTTTTTAAGGATCTTTAACGAAAAACTCCCGGTACTGTTCACTTTAACGAAAAATCACATTTTTACACTAAAAAGTCAATCTTGGTACTATTCACTTTACCTTTTATTTTGTCATTATCGTTAAAACTCAAAGTTTTCAAACATTTTTCATTAGTTATTTATTTATTTATATATATTCTATACTCTGGAGTTTACTAAAAAATTTAAAAAAAAAAACAGAAAACAAACTATCCCGAACTTTTTTATCAAAGACACAATAATCAAGATTTAATGGTTAAAATATTCAAGAGCACCATCAGATTTCCTTTTCCATGAAGTTTTTATATCGAGCCTATTGCTGGATTTTCTTTTGGGGTGGAGTGGTTCAATTCCAAAGCTTACTCACATTTGAAGTTTAAAACTCAACCCAATTTTTACCAACTGTATTTTAATGGTCCTTTGAACAATTTGTCCTATGCTGCTGCCACACAACCTACATAATATATATATATATATATATATATATATATATATATATATATTTCTATAATAACAGTGGTTAAACCTACTTGTCCTATTACTTGGATGGTGTGATGGTGTTTTCCTTTTTTTGATCGTTGGAGGTGACGGGGTTCAAACAGGAGGCCTCTTCTAACATTGTGGAACAAAAATACCATTAGAGTAATCGCTCGTTGGTTGGTTACTGGATGATGTTGAGATTTCAATCTCTCTATGTCTAATATAGTAAATATAGTAAATGAGAATTGGATGATTGTAATATAGTAAACGAGAATTGGATCAACGATTGTTATGTCAATTCTCCCCCTCTTTTGGTATCAAGTCTTCCAGGAAAGAATTTGGAGTGCAGTAGTATATGAATATCCGGAACTTCTTCCTCGCGCGTTTGTATTTTTTTTCATGAATGAACGGTTGAGATACCTTTCTTTTTTGTTCTTTGATGCGCAGGAGAGCAAAGCTCTATGAATATATACTTGTGTATCTGTTTTCAGTTGCAAATTAAGAACTGTGATCAATTCATCTTTCAGGCACAGTTGCAGACAATATACGTTATGGCCCTCAATTAAAGGGGAAGAAGGTGGGTGACGAGGACGTTCACAAGTTGCTGACACTTGTAGACCTTGATTCATCTTTTTCCACCAAGACTGGTTCTGAAATGTCTGTGGGTCAGTCCCAAAGAGTTGCACTCGCTAGGACCCTCGCCAATTCCCCTGAGGTAAAAACCCATTACAAGACCATCCTCAACTCTATTTTGCATTCAAGAAGTCGTTCCTTCTTACAGACAAATCACTGTTTGATATTTATCTAAAAAAACTCTTCTTTTCGTGATCCTAATGAGCTCATGTGACATTTAAGGAGTCACTCCTCCGTGCAGTCAAATGACGGTTTGACATCTATCAGAATTTCTTATTGTGATCTTAATAAGTTATTTTTGCATATGTCAGATTATGATTTGATGGTAAGGAAGAATAACTCCTTACATGTACGGAGTCAAACAATGTTTCTTTTTTTTATGTTTGCCATTGTTGGTAATGTGTTGTACTATACTTTTGGGAAGGTTTTGCTGCTGGATGAGCCAACGAGTGCATTGGATCCAATATCAACAGAGCGCATAGAAGGTGCTTTGGAGAAGCTGAAGCAGAAACAGGGGATGACCATTGTGATGGTCTCTCACAGCATCAAACAAATCCAGAGGATTGCTGATATTGTTTGCCTACTTGTGGATGGGGAAATTGTTGAAGTTCTCAAACCAGACCAACTATCTCAAGCCCAGCATCCCATGGCACTACGGTTTCTTGAGCTCAGCTCTTAATCTCTCTCTCTCTCTCTCTAGATTGATTTGGGATTTTATAAATTGTTGTGTACAATAGTTACATAGCAATTGCTTGATGATACATTTTGGAAAGGAAGAAACTTTGCTAGTAACTGCGCTGATATTTGTATTAGTTACAGTGATCATATAAATTTGTGAGGGGCCTAAGAACTATATATATATATGCATAATAAAACACACTAATATTTGGCTTCCTGAACCGAATAATTTTCCAGTCTGACCAAAACTGGGGTCTTTGCATGGGTGGTAAAATAGAAGGTCCTCAGAGACCAAGAGGGTTTTTGTATCTGATTTTTATTTGGCTTGAAAGCTGGCTGTGGTATTGCTTTTGAGATGATCTCTTCCTGCTGAGCTTTACTGATCATGTTCCACATAATATGTACATCTTGGTATCCACAAATTTGTACATCATCCTGAAGCTTTAGTAGACCACCTATTCCTCCACCACACTCAGCTCCAACTAGGATGGGCAAATACCCATTGGTTATAGGTAACCGCGGTTACCCGCCTATTTAAATTAAACGGTTACGGTTATGGGTAACCGTTTAGATAAATAAACGGTTATGGGTATAACCGTTTACCCGCGAAATTTAAATGGGCAGTTATGGGTATTAACGCGGTTATAAACAGGTAACTGTTTACCTATTTATTTTATATATGTAAAACTAACACAAACCATGTTCTCAATCCAATAATATTTAGCACCCAATAAATTAGCAAGGAATTAATCAATTCTTCTCTCAATAACACTGCTACATGAATGATGATTCTCATCATCAAGGAATTCGCCAAATTAATTTAAATTCCTTGCGGGTAACCTTGAAATTGACAAAAATGTTTTGATATAAATGACTTCTAAACAATTTTTGTAACCCAATAATACTTAGCAAATATTATATTTACCTTCATTGGTAACATTTAAAAATATCGTCCGTAAACTATTATTTCAATTATTAGAATAATATAAGGACTTAAAAGTATGATGAATGTACCTATAACGGTATTTAATTGTCAAAAAAAAAATTATGACAATTGTTTTTTAATTTTCAAGTTGTTAAAAAACATATAGACGGATGAAAAAGGGGTAATGGTAAAAAAAAGGAAAGATAAACGGGTTAAAAAGGGTAAATGGGTAAACGGGTATTAAACGGTTACAGTTAAATGAGTGTGCGGTTATGGGTATAGTTAACCGTTTATAAACGATTATGGGTATGAGTATAACCGTTTAGGCAATTACCCAACAGATAAATGGTTATGTGTGTATGAGTATAAACGGTTATGGGTAAATAACCGCGGTTACCCGCTCGCCATAATCGTTGCCCATACCTACCTCCAACATGTTTATAACACAATGCAACAAATATTCCAAATCTATATTAAACACCATCGTCATATTATTTACCCTTTCATTCCGCTACATCCGTCCCCTTCTCTTTACCACCACCTACTCCTTCCGGCTGTCCACCTCACTCTTCTACTCAAAGTTTTTGTCAATACAAATTCTTTTAAAACAAATCCAAATCAATAGAGGAGCGCGAATTTCATTTGTGGGAGAGCCTTTCACATACATAGATAATTTGAACTCAGAACATGAGAGACTGGAGTAATGCGCATGAAAATTGAAATACCCTAAATTGAATAGAGAGAACTAAAAACATTGCACAAATCCAGAAATCCGAATATGAGGTAAAGAGTAAGCAAGAAAATTTTAAAATATAAGCCAAAGCCAAAGAAAAGCTGATAGAATAAGGAGGGGAAGTAAATAAGACTGCGCTGCAATAAGAGAGATAGAGAGAATAATGAGGGCATGACTTGGAATAGAAAACAGTTTAGATTAGAACACACTTGAATTTTAAGGGTACTAGATTGATATGCATCAACCTTTGTTATAGTAGCAAGAAGAGAAAACAAAAGGGCAAGATGGGCCACAGACCATTCTGGTTTTTAGTGGCTTTGCCACTAATCCAAAAATGAGCATGGTGCTATCACACACCCCCTTTTATATTATACACATCTGTTAATTTCAGTTGTCAGATTGAATGAACTAAAGAGAATCAAATGATAGAAATTAACACGGGCGTATGAGGTAAAAAGAACTGTATGGATAGCACCACCCTACTTCTAAGTGAGAAATATTAAGTTAAAACATAAACCGCAAATTGGATAGAGTTTTCTATTTAAACCCCATACCATGTCTAAGTTCACTCCAAAATTTTTGTTTGACATCTTATTTTCAATTTTACCCGTATTAATACAATACACTCCACAGTCCACATAAAGGTTGTTTAGCCAAATGTTAAGAGAATCTTTGCTAATTAATCATATATCAATGGTCAATTTTTGTTTTGGACATAATCAATTAAATATTTATGAGATTTTGAAGACACTGTGCAAGAAGCTCGAGGACGAAGTTAAGCGGTGGATCAAATCGCAAAATTCATGCTTTAGATTTTTGGCCCTTTTTGCTATTTAATTTTGCAATTCAGTTAGTATTTGGAATGGTGAAGGCGATGCTTGCATCTCTTGAAAACTTGAGGACAACATATGAAAATAGAACTACACAAATAGACATTGCATTTCAGAGTTTGAATTCGAATATAAAAGCAAAACCAGAAACAAACACTGCATTGCAGCATTGCAAAGTCTGAATCTAAATGTAAAAGCAAAATAAAAAACAGACATTGCATTGCATAGTTTGAACACAAATGTAAAAGCAAAACTAGAACAAAGATTGCAACACATAGTCTAAACTCAAATATAGAAGATAAACAAAAAACAGATACTGCAATGCAACATCTAAATCCAAATATAAAAAACAGAATAAGAAAACAAACACTGTGTTGTTGTGTTTGAATCAACAGGGTTGCGCAAGGTGTGAAGTGTAGGAGACGTGCGAGTGATGTGTGAGATCGACCTGATTCGAAATCAAAGAATTTGCACACTGCCAGATGTAGTATTGGTTTGGTATTGAGATACTTTTATAAAAAGTGGGTATTAAAAAAAGTTAAGCTAAAAAAGGTGTTTGATAAACACTTAAAAAAACTTATTTTCACAATTTTTGGTTAAAAAAAAAAAAAAAAAACTGAAAACGTGAAGCAGCAAAAATGACTTATTCTCATTAGTAAGGGTGGGCACTTGAAATAAAAAACTGAAACCGAAACACGAACCAAACTGAACCGCATCGAACGGTTTGGTTTTGCGGTTTTAAAACGGTTTCGGTTTGAAACCGAACCGCAGTGAAGGAAAACAGTTTGGTTTTGGTTTCAGCCTTTTGAAATCGAACCGAAACCGAACCGCACCGTAAAAATAAAATATTTAACTAAATACCCATATTAGGTGTTGTGTTATAATTGATTGTTTGTTAAAGTCCATACATTTAGTATGGACTCAACCATTCTAGAAATTCATCTCTCTCTTAGTCTTCGACTTTCGGTCACTCATCAAACCATTCTTTCTCTCCCAACTCTCATATGTTCTTCACACCTTACACAAACAAAATCTGCAAATCAATTTGTCTCACGCTCACCACGCAACAACTTTGATTCTTGGAGGTTAAACCCCCCACCCCAAACAATGAACCACTGTAAGCCTCTAAGTTCTCTTTCATAGCTCCAAAGTCAACAACATTGTTTTGATTTGAAAGAGAATGTGTTTCTTCCTTCTAATATGCCCGTAGATGAGGAGTCTCTTTTACTCATTTCCGATTCAACAAGTCAAGCAAGAAACTATAATTTCCAACGCGAATTTAGAACTTACATTGATAATTAATCATTCAACAATCTATTTTTCATGGTTTGATAATATTGTTATGAAACGACATTGAAAGAGTATAGGGAGTTGGCAAACTAAATTAAGAAAAGAGATTTGAAGCTATTTTTTCATTTTGTTTGTAAATAGTTTAAAACCGAACCGAAACGAACCAAATGATTTGGTTTCATTCGGTTTTAGTCTCAAAACCGCATCGAACCAAACCGCAAAAACTTTCGGTTTTGGTTTCACTCAAAACCACACCAAACCAAACCGTGCCCACCCCTAGTCATTAGCACAGCAGAAGCAGTTTTTTTTTCAAAGCATAGCAATACCAAACTAGCCTGTAGTGGTATGGATTAGTAAATTTTGTTTGAATGAGGTGTTATAATGTACCTCAAAGTTTCATTGTATTTATAATTGGGAGGCGGGTCCGTGACACCACTTTTTTCACACAACTTTTGACAATTTTTTATGAGACCATTTCGTAATGTATAACATTCCAAAATTGCAGAACCCTTAAATTAAATCTGAAACCATATGACCGTTGGATTAAATTTGACACAAGTAAAGAAATACCTCTACTATCATGTCACCAAACTCCCCACCACCCCCACCACAACACTTCCATGACCGTCAACGTCACTCCCACTACAATGTTGTCACCACCCCCATGGTTATCATCATTGTTATCGTCACCAGCCCACCATCCCGCCACCAACAATGTGGTTACCTCCACCATCATCAACACTGCCTCCATGGTTCCACCATCAACCATCATCATCGTCGCCAACAACATCATCATCATCAACACTGTAGTTACAAAATAAAATTGGGTATTCGGAAACATAAATAACCATTTGCAATGTTGCAATTTACCAAACCAACCCCACCGTTCTCTCCCTAAACAAGACACCGACCTCTCTCTATCTCCCTGCCTCCAATTTTCTTCTTATCCTACAATCCCCTCCTCCCTCACCCTCTGTCTCCCCAATTTTCTTCTGATCCTACAACGATCAAGCGACCCCCTCTCCCTCCGCTAAGCCATTAACCATGTGATGACAAGAATGTGAATAATTTGCGACATCAAATCAAAATTTTAAAAGACACTAACCGTTAGTCAGGCGGTGGATTGAGGTTAAGCGCCTAGGTGGCAAGACGAGGTCAAAGCACGAGCCTAGACGGATTTAAGTATATTTCTTGCATATCGTATAAATAAATGTCTGCTTATACTTAAAATATACATAATTGCATTGAGATAAATAAGTTGCAAAATATAATGACAAATAGATTAGAATGTAATGACAACATAAGGAATAAACATATAATGTGTGTTCATCTAAGTATTCAAAAAGTCTTTTACAATTTATCAAAAAAAAAAAATTATCTATTTTCTACTTAAGTAAGAGTTGGGAGCTAGGCGGGCTGAACGAACACTTAGTTGGTTTAGGT